AACACTGAATTGTTATGTAAAACCACTTTAGTCAGTGGTTTTAGTTTTAATCGTGGTTGCGATTATATTGCACTGACAAAATCTGCTCACAGACAGACAGACAGACAGATAGACAGATAAACACCATACAAAATACTCAAAACCACCTCTGCAGTAAGTCCTGCTACAATTGGTCACCAGGACCACATTTTACAATGATGTAGTGATGTAATATTAGCATTTCCTAATGTGATGGATAGAAATAAAGCTTGGCATGAGATGTATTTACTCTATAGCAGTGGTTCCCAACTCGTGGGTCATGGTCCAAAAGCGTGTCACGGGTCCGTTCTGAATGGACCACAAGTGACTTGCAGATGTTTCAACTTTGTAAGTAAAACACTTTATGTTGAAGTACAGTGAATTTCTTGCACAGAGCTGTTAATATGAAGTGATGTTTCTTGCTGTAGAGTGAGTGACAAACAGACAGCTCCTTGGAGCCTGGTCTCACTCCGAAGTCTCCTAAGACATCTTTTAATGTCGGCATGATACGTGGCCAGTTACCTTTATAGTTTAACGGCACCCAGCGGCGTAAGGGGGAAACGCAGCAGGACAAGGAGGAAAGTTAAGGTGGCGATAGTCCAAGTGGGGCAGGCAGGAGGTGGTGGATGGGTCCAACAAACCATGACTTTCACCCAGAGAGTGGTGTTTGTGTCCCGTAAGATTCTAAAGCCAAACCCTGTTCTTTTCTCCTAAACCCAACCATGTGTGTTTGATGTTGAAGGGGTAAAATGTCAATTTGTTGTGTTGTACCGATGTAGTGCGTTTATTTCCTGTGAAAACGGAAGTGTATTTTGAAAGACGACAATGCATGTAACAGGCAGGACTTGACACGGTGTCCAAGAACGTCAACACCCAACACACTCACTTGCACATTGTATGTGGACGTGGAGAGTCCATGACCAAAACATCAATATGTGATGAAGTTGGAATGAAAATGCGTTGCTCCTTGACGGAGACAGAAAACTAGCTTGACGACATGGCAAAACACAAGTTTGACACTGAATATATTAAGCTGTGTGGACCTTAGACTGATGACTAAGGAGAAATCTGGGTCCCATGGCTGGACCAGTTGGGAACCACTGCTCTATAGTACTAAGTAAGGAATACTAAGTAAAGCACCTTAAATTTGAAATTTTCTGCAGTACTCGAGTAGATGTACGAAGTCACTTTCCACTACTGCATTCTGGTATGCAAACTGTGACATGGTCTACTGCTTTTTTGAACATCTGTTAGGGGTAATCAGCCTATTTCAGCCTGTATAATATGTACTAAATGTCTCCACCAGTTGCATGATAATGTGATTGAATCAAAGAGATAACTTGACAGCATCAGGGTCATCACAGTTTTACCTGTAAAAGTGCAAATTGGCTCATAACAGCAACTCTCAGAAGTACACAGAAAGAACATACTCTCTTTGTGCTCAGCTTTTTCGGAAACTTAATTGCTGGCATTAAGCACTTGAGGGAATTCTGTGCTGTGCTTGTTAGGTGTTTGTGTGCAACACAACCCCACACGTTCTATTAATAAACTGACACCCTCTTACCCCCTCTCTCTCTCTCTCTCTCTCTCTCTCTCTCTCTCTCTCTCTCTCTTTCTCTCTCTCTCTCTGAAATAACGAACAATAAGTGTCGCTGCTGCACCTCAGACACACACCAACATCAAGCAGAATGTCAAATGGCTGGAAGAACGGAGCGATTGACAGCAACCGGGCTCCACAAGGCATGCAGATTACTAAAAGCAAGTTCTGAATGTTCTTTTCAAACTTTCTCCACATGCCAGTGGGGAAAGCAGGAGTGTTGATCTGATGTGAAATGCTTGAAAGAGATTTTTGCAAATGCCCGCATTTAGAAGGGTGGATGTGACTGTATTGTGTCTACTGTTTCACCTCAGTGCGTAAGTACAGTGTGCAGGTGACCTGGGTTATGTGGATCACATTGAAGACATCCATCAGCCAGATGACCTCAAGGCTTTAATGGAAATCACCTTAATTTTAGAGTTTAAGAGAAAAACATGAAGATGATTATGGAAAGGATGATCACAGAAAGATTACAATAAAGCAGTATGTTATTTATTTAGTGATAGCACAGGAATGGTGACAGATGCCATTCTGGGCCACTAAAAGGCCTCACAAGCACCAGCAAAGAGATGTTTTTAAGAACATTTGGCCCCAGGTGGGAACTTAACCTTTAACCATGGGCGGATTACCAGACAGTGGGCCCCTGGGCACAGATATGCAAGAGCCCCCACTACCTCTCCTATATAGGAACAAGAAACACAGACTCTTTGGTGATTTTGTCTCTTTTTCATTGTTATTTTGTGTCTCATTCAGGTTTGGAAATCAGCACTAGACACCAGCCAAATGCTGTTAAAATATTTAAGTGGTCGCTACATTTGCTTCACTCACCAGCCAAAAAAAAAACAATGGTAATCTAATGAGTGGCTGGAGTATTTTTGAATCCACTGGTGACAGTGGTAGGTGAACAAAGAATTCAATTTCTAACCTTGATCTCTTTGTAGTCTTTATGCATCTTTTTGTAGTTTTGTGTCTCTTTGAGGTCATTCTGTGTCTCATTTGGGTAACTTTGTGTCTTTTTGGTAGTTTTGTGTCTCTTTGTGGTTAATTTGCCCCTTTTGTAGTTATTTTGTCTCTTTGCAGTTCCTGTGCATCTTCTTGTGGTCATTTCATTTTCATGGTCAGTATGTGTTCATTTGAGTTGGGCCCCTGGGCCTTTGCCTGGTATGCCCACGCAGTAATCCAGCCAACCCTTTAACCCCAGACTTAACAATCTTCTACCAACCTTGACCTATGAATTATATGAGTGCATCCATATATAGCACAGTGGTCTCCCAGTATGACCGTTTATGCACAGTGTTGTTGCTAACCAGCAGATGGTACTATGTCCCAACTTGGTGTGATCCAGCATTATTATATATTCACATAGAGAAAGCAGAATGTATTGATCCCTTAGTGTGGGGCCCTGACCTGGTTGTGCAACCTGTATTTCCCAAAAGACACAGACACAGAAGAACACATTAAGCTCAACAAACCACTGCTTTTAAGCCTCATTAAGGGTTTAAAATGTGTTTAAAATAAATGAATGTGGCAAAATAATGTTGTGAATGTGTGTTTTATCAAAAGATCACTCCATAATCTGTCACAGTAAACGTGGTGAAGGAATATTTTTGAGGATTTCCGTGTAGAACATAGCACCAGTTATCCTAAATGCTGCTATATGCTGTTACTAAAGAGTAACTCATACAGTATATGTTAAAAAGCTATATCCTCTGGTTAAAGGAAAAAGCTTAACTCCGAGGGAAAGGCACAATATTGTCCTCCTCTGTGACACTGTAGGCAACGCCACTAATAGCACCTGCTTTTGAACCTACAGGCAAAGTTATTATTCGTATAGGGTCATGCATTAATTCATACACTTCATTAACATATGATGTCTGAAGGAGACTTTGACTGATTTTCAGTTGTTCCTTTCATGTATGCTGTTTAATCTTTCTTACTGTACCTTAAACATCCAACGCCAAAAATTAAAAATATATATAGATTTGACATTTATTAAAGAAAGGCAAACATTTGGAAATTGTGGGGAAATTTAGTGGAACAATCCTTTAATGAAAACTAGAACAGAGCTGTTATCTCTGTTTCTGGGTGCACCAGGGACACCAAACATCAATAATCTCATTACTTGGGTCAAATATAATAATCAGATCTGCATTTTTTTTCTTAATAAGAAAAAAAGGTAATGTGTTTTGGATTCATGGCGATGTGTTTGTGTCACTAATAGAGATAAAAAGCTCGGAGTGTCCTTTCACCTGCTGATGCTGGTCAGGAGGGCAAATGTTTGGATCTGTTGTGAAATCTCCAAGCAGCATGCAAATCCTCAAGATGACCTACTTCTTCCCTTCGACATAGACACTTCGCTAAAATCCATAAATTAAGGAAATTAACTGATGGGGCCCGGGGCCACTTTGTAAGCTATTTAAATCTTTAAATTTACAACATCCCTGCATACTTCATGTAATTGAACTAACTCCGGGCTTGTTTCCTTTAATGAGAAAAAAAATCCAGTTTCCCCTCCAGTTTGTACCTCTGGAAACAACAGATCTGTGCCAGAGGGGGAGATGGGATCGCTCTGAGGCGCGCTGAGGTCTGTCTAATTATGAAGACTTGGCCCGCTTGGAGGGGAGACGCATTCTCCCAGCAGTCCTGCTGTCAAATCACCAGCATAACTATTTTATTTCTTTTTTAAATACTTGTCACTTTATACTTACTTTATGCAAAGATGAGCTGTGGGAAGACACTGTAAGTCAAATGAGATCTTATGGGAGCGTACCAGATGCCAGATTTTTTAAAAAGTATAATTTAAAGTTCCATATGATCAATAAGAAATTATGTTTTGTCGTCAGGGTGACACACAATAGAAAATGTTCCCAAAAAGTGAGACTATATTTTCTGTGGACCAATAATAAGTTCTTACACTGGTTGGCGCCAAATATCAAGAAACGAACATCACACCGCTGTCAGGATGCTGGTACAGAGTAATTACTGGGCTCAATGTTGTATCAATTATTCACAGTTATTTACCCGCAAATAAACAAACATGCAAATAAATAAATAATCGTCTCCTTGGTGTGAGCACCTGCTTGACTCTCTCCTTCCCGTTCACTCGGTGCAAAATTGGCGCACTACTTTAGCGCCTCATCACCTGCATTGTCTTTATATGTGTTGTAATAATACCAACAATCATCCAGAATCTTATTTTACCCCCCCAAAAAAGTCTGCAGGCTTCCTGCTTTCATTGGAGAGTGAAGAGAGGGGGGTGTTCTGGGCAGATATCTCCATCTAAGCCCTGCGCTATAATTGAAATGGCGCATTTGGCTGCAGGCAGGTTGTGAGGGCGCTTTCTGCAGCAGCATGCATGCATGTCCATAGACGTCATTTGATTTTAATGGCCTGCAGGAAATTTGGCGTTACAACTCCAGACATTAAGGCAAGGGAGAGAGAGAGAGGGAGTGAAAGAGAGAGCGGGGACACGGGGAAAAATCGCCGCATGAAAGATATTGGTTCAAGGATATCTCTTCATTTTCAACATATTTTTCTACTGGGACTTTATCAACAAGTTACTGCGCCTTTATTGCATGTTGCCTGAGTGAAGGACTATGGCAGCTCGCCTGGCTTTAAACTTTAGATTCAGGCTAGAGATGGAGATGGAAATGAATGCCTACTAGCTGGAACTGCCTGGGGAACTATTACATCAGACGAAATGACAATGATTAAAATCTGCTTTTTGCTGTTCTAAATCTATTGAGCGGCAGTTGCCTGTTAGGTTTCCTGCCCCCTCTAAATCACAACTTCACACCGTTAAGGGGAACGGTCTACTTTAGCCGGGAAAAAAATAGATAAGTTATTATATCTGTGCAGTCATAATTTCGCGAATAGGGGGGTATCACGTTTTCTTCCTTGAGAAAATTGCCTGGGCGAGAGAGTGGAGTTGAGCTAATTGTAGCCTAATCCCTGGCCCAGAGGCGCTTGGGCTGCCCGGAGCAAGAATTTTCTTTTTTAGCTCTGCTCTGTTATTTAGAGACGGATTATTGGCTTTCTTCTTCTCATAACAAACCACAGGGGCAGTTTCATTTAGGCACAAAAAAGCAGACAAGAAGCCGAAATACGAAGCAGGATTCCAACAAGAGCGCACATTTTTTACGCGTATCCAAATAAGAGCAGAGAAGGGGAAGGAGATCATCTCATCTATGTTCAAGGTAAGGACGCTTCCTGTGCGCTTTGGTACAAAGAAGCTTGGTGAGGACAGGTCGAGCCAGCCTTGCAATAGAGCCTTTAAAGCCACAGAGACTCTTTGCAAGCAGTCCATCCCGACCACAGCCTAGTACTGTCTTTTAAAAAGCAGTTTTGTGTGGGATACGGAGCAAACACTTGGCTTTTCCGTGCGGCACTATAGGTTCGTGCTGGAGCTGGATGGCGGTGTAGTTGTACCACATACTCGGGGGCATTTGGAGAAATTATTTGAAAATTTTGGGGGTTACGCGGACAGCAGCTGGGACTGACCTCCGGCACGGATTTCCTCTGGATGCCCTACAATGTTTGAAACGGTAGGGTGAAAAATTTAATATTACAGAATCCAATGTTTTTACGCACAGTGCAGCTTCAGTCTGTACAGTTTTCCAAGAGTATAGTAGTCGAGCTGGTTGCTTAAGAGTAACGTGGATACCGCTTGACCTACAGAGGTTTTCCCCTTCTTTTCTCACACACTGGATAGTTTACACGTGTGGGTTTTATCAAGCGGCTGATGAATTACACGTGTCGGGATTATGGTTTTAATTGTACAGCAGGAATAAGACGCCATGTTGAGCATTTGGTAGAATTAAAGGCAGAGGGCACAGGCTTGTAGTGTTCGTGTGGAGTGGGATGTTGTATCGGATCGCTACCAACGGTTCAGTGTCTGTATTATGGTTATTTTAATCGGGGGCTATCAGGATTATGTTCATGTGGATGTCATAAGTGCGAATTTGGGCACGACGCTTGAGCAGTGTCGGCGGAGGGAGGCTGAAGCACAGCAGCTCTGAGGGGAAAGTTGATGCCTTTACAGCTGCCGTGATTTTGTGGAGGAATTTATCATATGTGGTCTATGTGTGTGTGTGAGTGTGTGTGGGGGAGATAGAGAGAGTGAGTAATCAATAGAGACAGAATGATGAAATGATTGAAATTGTGATTGATTGTGAGATTCATGGGTCTATTTCTTTCCATTTGCTCCTTGTTCACGTATATCGTAATTTAATTGGTTAATTGATTGGTTGACAGAGAGAGAGGGAGTGTGTGTGTGTGTGTGTGTGTGTGTGTGTGTGTGTGTGTGTGTGTGTGTGTGTATAACCGGCGGTGGGACAGGCCGGTATGGATGTACCTCAAACTTCTCAAGTCTTTCCAAGTTTTTTTTCCTCCTTTTCCTGGGATTTGAAATGTAATCCCGTCCTCATGTAATCGTATTAAACGAACATGATACTGCTGTGAGCCGGGCAACACCCTGAGAAAAAAAATAAAAAGCTCCAGTCTCGTTTTGTGCCCAAAGGCGCTTCTTTCAGAGCCGAGGGCCTGATCTGGCCTTTCACAACGGCCTCCAGTTTACCAGCCATGACAGTAAAACAGCCCATATGTGCAACAACTACAACTGATAAACTGTGTTGATCTACTGGAGGGTGAAATGGTATTATCTCGATCTGTTTAAACCCAGCAATGTAGTTGTGCTGTGGAGCTCCAAGTAAAGTTTTGTTCTAAATTGCGTCAGGAGAGGTCTTTATTTCAACCGGAGCCTCCAGGGGAACAGATGAGTAATGATAAAGCGGGCAAACTGTGACCTTTAGTCAGTGATCGTTATGGACGACATAAAAAATGTCATTACATTTATCTTTGATTTGTGCTATGACTTTCTAACACACAAGAGTCACATTACAGTGTGGCCAGTCTGAGGTTAGGTGGGTTACCTGCAGCTGTTGGCAAACAAATTACGCACCAGTAAATTGGAGATCCGCTCCTCCAGAAGCAGGAGAGAAGCAAACGGCGGCGTATCGAAGTGAATTAAAAATATTTTCCTCAAACATTTTAACAGCCAATCAAACTCAGCTGCTGACCCCGGAGTGCACCAGACTGCTCTGGAGTCAGCTCTCCTAAATCTGCGCCTCCGCACTCCCGCATCTGAATAAAGTGGCACGTAGATAGTGAGCTTTTTATTCTTTTGTACATTTTTTAAAAACATTATTCTGACCTTGAGTCATCGCACATATGGAGTGGGGTACTTCGTGGTTTGGCCTGTTACTGTGGACAGCAGGGGAGATGCTTTCGTTGCGCTTTTACGCATGTTCGGTGCCATACAGCTTAAACAACACAAGTCACGCGTATCTGTAGTTACATGACAAGCCATCACATTAATCTTTTGTTTTGAATGTATGTGTGCGACGAGAAAAAAAAGTTGCCCCCCTCCCTCCCCTCCGTGTTTTCCTTGCTCTCAGATTGGTGGTTGGTGTGTCTGGGCGCATCACGTCTAACACATAAGGCGACCTTTAATTAGAATATTGCAGCAGCAGTTTGTTTTATTCCCCTGGAGGCTGACACCTAGCATTCCTCCCTCCCTCTCTCTGTCTTTCTATCTGTCCATCTCTCTCTCTCTCTTCCTCTGTCTCTCTCACCCCGGTTCTCTAATAAGCATCCTCCTATCCTCGCCTCCGGTGCTGCATGAAAAGATGCAAACATACTTAATTAGAGCGGTGGCAATAATTTCCAGGCTAAATATGCGACCAGACAGACATGGAAGTGATCTGATACCATTCAGAGAGGATACTATCTGCTTCCCGGTGTAGGATCACTGTGGTGTTTTGTTTTTTTAGCTTTACCTCTGCTCCCATGGCTTTTCTGTACACTTGTTTTCAGGAGGGAAGAAGCATGTCACGGCTGTCTCTGACCCGGTCCCCGGTCTCTCCTCTGGCCGCTCAGGGGATCCCTCTGCCGGCTCAGCTGACCAAGGCGAACGCCCCGGTGCACATCGATGTCGGGGGACACATGTACACCAGCAGCCTGGCGACCCTCACCAAATACCCAGACTCAAGGTAAGACACCAAGCTGGCTTTTTCTCTCACATGCGTTTGCCTCATTGCTGGAGATAGTTTATTAACTATTTTTCTCATTTATAGAAAATCAATATTAAGGCATTACTGGCATGTTGAAGAGTGAGCTGATTTGCATCTTGCTGCTTTTGTTTTTAATGTGACACCATTATGAATTTGAAGTCTCTCATTCTACCTTACAATGGGGATCTTTTCCTAATTAAATCTTCAAGTAGATTTCAATCAGCTTATATCTCTATTTAACAGCTTAATTTTGCATTTTGGTCATTAAATCAAATATTAAATTATTTGACTGGTGTTTGTCTTAATTAAGTCTAATTGGATTTATGCTGTTAACAAGTCATTTAGCTGCCTGGCATTAGGACAACTGCACTGCAACTTCCATACCATACAATTGCCCTCAGAGGCTACCAGTTTAATATATTTTCAAACCAAGTGGGGGTATTTCTCTCCCCTTCATTATTTCTTAACTCTCGTGGCTTTAAAACGATGAATTTGATTGCTTTTGTTTGTTTTTAGTCGTGATTATTTTAATTGTTTATTAAACACCTGCAAGGCTTTTATTTTCATCTCCTTTCACACTGTAGTTGGGTTTGAAAATTCAGCTGCTGTCAAGCTGGCAAGTGCAGTTGCTTTCACATGTTTCAATTCTGATTTGACTCGGGGTATGTAGTATGAATTAACACAGCACACAAACATATCCGTGTGCACTACACCTCCTTTCACCTCCTTATTTTTTTGTGGTCAGTAGATCAGGGTGCTGACAGGAATCCTTGCAGGAAAAAAACAATGACGTAAATGTTCGGATTCCTGTCATCACAGCTGATGTGGGTCTGGCTCATTGGTGTTACATGTTGATTTTCTTGGCTTTTTTTACAACCAGGGTTTACCACCCTTACATCTTATCGATAGTTATTATTCATGTTCAGGAACAGGGGTTATTTTGTGAGATAATCATTCTTATAATTTTCAAATAATTTTCAAACAACCTAGCTTGCACTGCAGTCAAACTTTAAAATGTCAAGTCGTACATCTTACTGAATATTTGCGTGGACAGGAAAAAGAAAGGAACTCCTGTTCTTTCTGGCATCTGATTCTCTCATAAAGCAAACATTTTTTATTTTTTTAAGCTTTTCCATTGTAAGATTTAGTCATGATGATTCAGATTGTGGTAGAGCTGCTGGTAATCCACCCTCCCACTTTATTCACGTTTTTAGCTCATCCACAAGCAAGGTGACACCACCAACCCAAGTTAGCAATCTAAAATATTGCTGTTCTTACTCTATGAATTCATGCCCTTTAAAACTATGGCATGTTTTAGGCCCCCTTGCTTCTTCCTCTAATGCACTGTGTCATTCATTACATTATACAGCTCTGCGTCAGCTGACAGAGTCCCATGTGGGCCAAGGTAAACATTCACCAGGTTGTTAGAAAATCTGCCAAATTGGCTACAGGAAACAATCCACATAATCCCTTGGTAATAAAGTCTTGATATTCATTCTGACAGGAAATCCCTGACAACTCTCCCTTTATCCCTGACGTGTAAAAAATAAAGCTCATCCCAGACAAGAGTTTATGATTGTTTTTGTTAAGATGCTTTTTTTGGCCCACTGCTTTGGTGTTATGTATATTGGGTTTATCCAAAGGCCACAAGACAAGAGTGTTTTGTTTTTTTTAAATCAAATGTGCTGATGTTATTCTGATCTTGACAAATCTGAAGCTGTTGGACGGTGAACTGAGATTTTTATTTGCTTTAAACACATTGCAGCTAGTTGTAGATAGTCACAGCACTGTTTTTTCTTTGTAATTTTCATTTGGTGTTTGTGTTTCTATATTTTTTTTTTATGATCTGGTGCAGCTTTACACGTTACAAAGAAGTTATTCATAGGGGGAGACACACGGGGCACCGTGCAATTGTAGCACAGAGTCATGTCAGAGCACCCAAACAGTGTTTTTACAGTGAGAGTAAAGACCGGATACCAGCGTGAGTGTTGGTTGGAGTGCTCTTTCCTCTCTCTCTTTCTTTTTCACACATGCTCCTTTGCTCACTCTCCCTCTCTTTCTCTCTCTCCGTGTCTCTTTCTGTGTCTTTCTCACTCTGAATCACACGCACACATGCATACACTCACTGTGTGTCTCTCTTTCTCTCTCCCAGCCTCCTCAGTGTACAGTTGGCCTCAGGGCTCCACTTTCCACTGGAGCCAGTGGAAGGAGGGGCCCTTTTGTGTGAATTAGGATAATGGCTGACAGCAGAAAGCAAAACAATTACACTGGCATAGCCGCATATGCTGCGTTCGGCTGTGTCCGGTCGAGTAGGGCACGCCGGCAAAACTGAAAAAAACGTGACGACTAACAGAGCCGGGTTAAAGAGTTTAAAGTTGATGATTACTTTTAATAGATTGGCCTCTAAATAATGTAGCATGCCAAGAGAAAGTTAGTCTAGTAACTAATGTGTGGTTATTCATCTTCTTCTGTGTGGGCCATATTAAGGGACAGGGGTCATGAAACATTGATGCACACTCTGTGTAGCTCTCAGAGAGGACAGTCTCAGCAGTCACTTGAACAGAAGCTGAGGAAATTAGGGGAAATGTTCCAGAGACAAGGAAACTATTTTGAAAGGACCACTGGACATTTTTCTCTTTGAAGACGAGTCTTCTGGGTCAAGAGACGATAGATCTGTGCTGGCCCCCGCGCTCTTTTTCAGTGCTCACCTGTGTCTAACTTTTTTCTCGGAGCTGAAATCTCCGTAATTAACACAGCAAACAATATCTCAACATTTACAGTTAGCATTTGCTGTACTTCCCTTCATTTTTATTCTATTTCATTGTTAGGCCTCAAGTGTTTTGTGCTGTTTTAAAGAGGATTCATGGCACTAACACATCGCCATGATCTAAAGTAAAATTAGCTGTTTGATAAGACTTTAAGTTTTAATCACTTTACATGAAATAATAATGAGAGTTAATTGTCGCTCTTGCGAGGGAACAGTCAAGTTATGTAGCTCCAAAATAAGAGATAAAATGTTTTCACGAACTGCAGATAAACATTGTGATTATTAGCAACACATATTGTGACTATGAGTGAGGATGTACTGTTAAAGCACTCATATAGTCACTTTATGAGGCAACAGAGCCCTTCATGATGACTTTAATTCCAAGAGAAACATGTTAGAGGATTTTTGGTTGCTGATTTAATATTGAAATGTGCTCAGTAAAGGTATTGAGAGTTATTTTGACATCTGATTTGAACAGTCATTGCCATATATTCTCTTTAAGTCATAATATTCAGCAAAATTATAAATGCATGTTTTGAAACTTTTGTCAAATACTGTTTGAGAGCTTTTTGAGAATCACTGGTTTAAACAGAGTCTTTAGGCAGGACTGAGTGAATCAGAGCCAGGCGCAGCAGCGATCTGGTTTCTAACTTCAGACTCCCCCTACTCAAAAGCTATTGTGGGCAGCCCTTGATGTCAGACTGGACACACTCATACCTGTTTGGTTCACTTTGCAGGAAGCTGCTGGGTGTCTTGTGTTTATTAGGCGTCCATTAGTGTTGGAGTTCCCAGATAAGCATCAGTTCTTGTAGAATCAGTGGTACCTGCACTGTATCCCCCCTCCCACCTCCTGCAGACACGTCTCTGGCAGCTGGGCGGCTGTAGCTGCTGCAGCGAGGATCCTGCCAGATATTGCCCACCTACTGCCCCGCTGCCTGCCCTCACTTGGCACCGCTGGGGTGGTGAGATCTGAGCTGTTCCTGTCCTTGATAACCTCCCACACCCACCACCTCCCTCCCTCTCTCTGACTTTTTCTCTCTGTATTTCCATGGAGTTCTGTCATAGCTTTTTTTTCTTCTCCCACTCTCTCCATCTCTCTGTGTCTTCCGCTCATATTCTGTTTGTTTCTCTGCCTCTTTTCCTTCTCTCCCTCTTTCCTTCTGTTCGCTGTGTTTTCCCTCATCTGATTTCTTTGTCTAGTTCTCCCTATCTTTCCCTCTCTTCTCTCTCCCCGTCAGTCTGCTTCTCTTTTGGCCTGTCTGTTTGTGTGTCTTTCCTCTTAATTTCTCTTTGTATCACCCCCTACACACGCACACACACACACATACACACACACACACCCTTTCCCCTTCCCTACCTGTTAAAAACACCCCCCCTCCAATTCAGGGATTTAACTGAAAGGGAAAAAATGAGGAGACCAACAGAGAAAGAGAGAGAGAGAGTGAAGGGAGTGGAAGAGAGGGAAAGAAAAAGAAAAACAGGCAGCATTTTAATTGCTTTTTAAAAAAGTGGAGATGAAAAACAGAGTTAGCCTGGAGGGGTATGGTGAAATTCTAGCTGGAAGAATTGCAAGACCATATGAGAAAGGAACACCTCGGGCAAAACAGGGAGATGAGTATTGGTTTTTTATAAAGCATTTTGCATCGATTTCCAGAGAGAAAGCGAGTAAGGGAGAAGGATGGAGACGGAGAGAGAGAAAGAAAGAAAGAAGGAAAGAAAGAGAGTGAAAGAGAGAAAGGATGGCAGGAGGGGAGAGAGGGAGGGAGAACCATCTTTGCTCTGCTTCTTCACACAGTCAAGTCAAAGAAAAAGAAACAGGGTGAATTTGACATGATAGCTTCAGTGTGTTGAGCCGACACATCGGGGTCAGGAGAAACCTGATACAACCATTAAATACAAGCTCATACACTTTTACAAAGTCGAGGCTTGTAATTGTAAATTCAGTGAAAGTGTGAGAGAAGCCAGCCCTGCTGTTTGTTCATTGACATTCCCACTGCGGCTTTCTTCCAGTGTCTTGTAATAGAGTTTGACAATGCCAGTGCTCAAGCAGTGCCGGGTGTATGTGTGCACGGGTCGGTTTGCAAATAGGTTTTTACGATTTTCCTCATCACACAACTTTGTCAGCCGACCTAGAAGCCGTTACCGTGATTAAAGACCTGATTACATCAAAATGATGATAATAACAGCAACACAGCGCCCTGCCAAGAGCTGTTTCTCACACAGACGATGGAAATGTGCAGTGAAACCGTTAAGGAGGTTACGTGCAACAGATTTCTTGTGTAAATCAGTAGTACGACTTATTTACACAGCACAGGCATTCCAGGTTTCTCTGCTGGGGGAGATGCAAATTTTGTTTCAGAATGACTCAAAAAATTAAAGCACATTTTTTTGCACTTCAGAGGTGCATAAATTTAAGCTTTGGGAGTACAAAAGTTTTACAAACACTTTAAAGCACTTGTGCAAACTGTCTCCTCAATATTTTAGAGACGGTAAAAAACTATTTTTAATTATTAAATAGGGATATTTAGCATATGGAAATGAACAAATAGACAGAGTAGATCTGCCTAGATGAGATTATGAGACCAGCGAGAGAGGGACCTGCAGGTAAGAGGCAGGAAAACCACACAAAGACAAGGGGAAATGAATATCTGTCCAAGGGTATCTCAAGGCACAGCGCCAATGTGGTGTGATGAAAGTTTAAAGATAACAGCAATTTCCACTCTTTGCCTTGATGAGCCCCTGTAGCCAACTTCAACTAAGCCCTTAATCTTGCAGTACACTAGTAGGAAGGGGTTAACAGTGGGACGCTAATAGGCAGCAACAAGTGTCTTATTATTACACCACAGTCTTGACAATATTTGGTGAAAGCTTAAACGCATACGTATAATTACTGTTTTTAATTAACTATTGTGTTTCTTAAGAGGAAAACATTATTGATGTAATTCTGGGTAATGATAGTTTAATTATTTCAGCTTTTACTTTCTCTTTTTAGATGTTTTTTAATCCTTTCTTTGTCTTTAAATATTAACCCATCTAATTCAGCCTAACCTGTACAGATAGTAGAAGAACCAAAAAGAAAATGCAACATATTTGTTGACTTCATTGTCAGTAAGGTGGTACAATGCCACTAAATAATATAGTGATAAAAAATAAAATAAGAATTAATATTTTAAAATGCTATTCTTCAGCAAGCAACCATGCACAACTGTTGAAATAATCATTATCTAATGTAATCAAAATCATAAATAAACTTAACAAACTGCCTGTTATTTATTACTGGTTCTAGTTTTGTGGTGGACTGCAGCTCTACGTGTTTTGTCCAAGCAGTGTTGCCGTAACCCCAGCAGAACATGACTCACAGGGGTACTCCACTAACATTAATGCCTTTGTTACATTATATTTGTCAGATAGCCCACATGAACTCTGAGTAAAGTGTCAGTCATTTATGTTGTGTTGCATGTAAAATGGAAAATGAAAATGATTTTGTTGAGATTTTCAGGTGCCCCCCACCGCCCGGCAGATTTAATGTCCATGGCTACAGCTGTGCTGCAGATTACATAGGAGACTACATATAGTTTTAAATGGGCAATAAAAGAGTTGTTAATTTATCCTCAAGCATTTATATCAGCAAATCAACAGGACTATGGAGTGAGATTGTGGATCATACAAACAAAATACTGAGCATGTGATAGATGTCATCACAAATTTTAATTCTATATTAAGTACAGACAGATTGACGTACAGTAGGGGGGCAAAATTTGTCTTACATTCATAACAAAGTCAAACTGTTTAAAGTAAAATATCTTTTTTCCAGCTGTCCTCTCCACATTAGTATGTGAACCTCCACCATTTCTTACCTCTGTTTCATTTCCAGCCCTCTGACAGATGGAATAATAGAGCTGTAATGCTACATTCATGCTATTAATTTCTGTAAGTACAAGCAGCAAGCGTGTGTGTTGTTGTAATCTCTCCGCAGAAGGGACACTTCAAACAAGTCTGGAATGGAGGAACTGTGCCTTAAGCCCCTTGTTTCAACCTGGGATGCTAATGCATTTCAAGCTTAGTGCTAATAAAATTGAAAAATAAATGGAGGGTAATTGTTTCATGCATTTGAAGGGAGCTGGCTCATTCCATTATGTGTGTGTGTGTGTTTGTGTGTGCGGCTGCCTGCATGCGTGCGTGTTTGTGTGTGTGTATTTCAATTTTCAGAATCAGTCGTCTGTTCAATGGCACCGAGCCCATCGTGTTGGACAGCTTGAAGCAGCACTACTTCATAGATCGGGACGGCGAGATATTCCGCTACATTCTCAGTTTCCTCAGGACCAGCAAATTGCTCCTTCCAGATGACTTCAAGGTACATATCCGCACCACAACATACTGTATTGTGTGTACTTGTCTGCACCATCAGTTTAAAACAACATAACAACATGAAAATCTTGAGTACGTAAAGCCACCTGTCCAGACATGCAGCAGTATGGTGCGAAATTCCAGATTTTTCTCAAGATAAATGTGAATATGTTAAAATATATATATAATGTTTACCTGCCCTCTCACGGGGTGCATGTTTTCAAAATAGACTTGATACCACAACAGAGCCGACATTTCTGTTTTCACAAAGCGAGTCTCACCTTCCCCCCATTCAACACATTAATTACCTGTAGTCTAAGCATAAGCAGTAATTAGGAAACTTTTGAGGGTGGAAAAAAAGAGACGTGGAACACACTCAGTTGGAGTTTATAGTGGTGGAGAGGTAAAAATGCTAACTGGCTAACTGGAGCATGGCCCGGTGATGTGTGTGCCAAAGCCCTGAGCTGTTGTTTTTCACTTAGAGTGGTTTCTATAGAGGTGAGCCCAGGTGAAATAGCCTGTACGCCCCTCTGTTCCCCATCGCTCTGATGACCAACTCCCTGTCTCACTGACAGACAAGGCCTGGCTGAGAACTATGGCATGCTGATGTAGTTTAATACCATCTATACATGCATCTGTGCACACACGTGACTGTTTGACTGAATGTGCTTTGGCCTGTGTTAGACTACTGAGGCTGCACACCTGGCTCCAAATTTAGAGTTCGCATGAAATAACTCTGTTGTAAGTGAATGCATGTACACTACATTATGTCTGTTGTTGTGCAGTGTTTAGTGATACGAAGCACATTTTCAGCCCTGCCGGCAGAATAAAATGTCAGCGTTGTATGTTTCTGCAAACCATGGATGTGTTACTTGTATATTTCATTTGTATCATATCAACATTTCGAAAGAGATGTAGTTCAGATTACATGTATATGAGCTGAGTTTCTAAGCATGGGTAGGAGGAGGAGATGGTTGATGGTGACACCGCGGTGACGGCTGCCAACACACCACTGTTCAAGACCAACAAACAACAAAATTGGGTATTTTCAATAGCACGTCAGGACATTTCTAGTCACATTTGTGGCCACAAAACTTGGCATTTTAAGCAAAAACATAATGATTTCCCAACCCAAGTGGTTGAGTTGCCTCAACCTAGCCACACATGAACCACAGCATTATCCCAACATGAAACTGAAAATTGAAACATAAAGAAACGTGAAGTTGCAACACATCCACAGCACACAAAACGTACAAATTTAACATGTGGAACATAGCAGAAACGTACAGTGCTAATATTAATCCTGGCGGTTGGATTGGATTTTCATGGCAACAAAAAAGTGCTTCCAGTCTTGCTATCAAATAATACTTCACACACTCTGGTGAACATACATGTCGACTCTCCATCCATACAAGGTATTTTAAGCTCATTGGTGAGACAAATATAAACATATATTGTATTTTTGATGTGAGCTATGCAAGTTGATCATAAAGTATTTTTCTTTGTTTCAACATAATTGATTAAAATTGTAATATTAGTAATGCTAGCAGCTGCATTTAACTGAAGTCTGACAAATGTAAGTCTATTATTTACTCTCCATCTATCTCTGGCTTGGTCTCCACCACTTTATGGGAAAACTTTCTGGCTCTTTAGCTGCTAACTGCTCACCAGCTAGTCATTTAAGTCAGTCTGCCATTTTGTTAGTGTTTATTTTGTATATCAGTGCTTTTATTCTGCTGCCTCTGCTGCTGAAAATCAGGTTGATGAGCGCGGCGAAGCAAAACAGTAAAGTCGAGGGCTGTAAATGAGAAACAATGAGCTCAAAGATGCAAAATGATGATCCGTGGATGTTCTTCCCGATGAGCAACCCCCTTAACATGTTGTTGATATAAAAAAAAATATGAAATAATGCAGCTTTAAACCCAACTGGTTGCATTACTGGCAAGTTAGTCTCACCCCACAAGAATCCACACAACCACATGTGGCTTTGTCAAAAGTATTATATATTCTGCCTGCAGCTCCTTCCTGTTCAAGGTTTTTATACAGTGATACTGTTTCCTAGGTGCATTCTACTCTTCACTTCTACTCCACCTTAACTTGCGTGACCTTTCCACCGGGCTGGCGCTTGTTCATCATTCTCTAGAAGGGAACAAGGCGAGGCCAAGCCATTCAGAGCCAGGGGCAAACTCTCCAGGCCTCACGGATAGTCTGAACGAGAGCCAAACCTCAGACAACAGAACATGACATAAAAGCCCTGCATATTTTCAGCAAATGATGGCCTGACTCAGTACCGATTAGTTTTTCCCTTCTTATTCATGCTTCTTCCCTCCCTTCCTGTGAAGTCTTGACAGTCCAATCAGGCGCCACGGTTGAGGAGAATGCATTGGACTTCATTGTTTCAACTCATTATGATCCCCTCGCATAAGCCTGTGTTGATCTGCATACCTTTCAATTTGCGTGAAGCCGGGGAAAAAAAAAATGCAAATAGTGCGAGGCGGAATTGAGCATGTCCTTATCTGAACACAATCAGGCTTGCCGTCGCCCGAGGGCTGGGTCTGTTCTGCTGCTGGCAGCCACGGCGCTGTGTGTTTTGCTAAATCAATGTGAAAGTCTGAGCAGAATAGGAAAAGAAATTTTTCAGCCTACATCAGTGGAACAAAATATTCACTATTAATATCCTCCCTCATCTCATTATTCAAACTACAATTAATCACAAGTGTGTAAGCAATGCTCAGTCATATTAAGGGCATGGTTATAAACCGTTAAGGGTTAGTGGTTTTTTCCTCTTTTGTATGGCACTTTAAATCAATAATGCTTTGTTTCTTTCGGTTTCAAATGCTAAGAAATAATAGGAAAGAGCATATGTATGTATTTTTTGTGGGTGCTGTATATTAGATGAGAAAGAATCAGACGGATTATTCCTGTGAACCTCTACTTGTGTGGCTCAAGTCATTTTTTGTCCAAAACTTACAGTAGGTCTTTATCAGTCCTCCGACTCCCTCATAGTGACACTTTCCATCATTTTTTTCTTCTTCTTCTTCTTCTTCTCTTTCTCTGCCTCCCTCTCTGTCTCTCCCTCCCTCTGTCCTTCCCCGAGATGTTGCCTTGCCGGTGGGCGATCAGGTCGGATCATTATTTTGAAGCTCAAACGGGCTGTCTGGACACAGGATTGGGGGATGAATTGTCTCGTAGAGCTGGCAGCAGTAGCAGCAGCTCCAGCAGCCAGGACGGAGCTGTTGGCCCTGTCTCCCTCTCATCCTCACCTCAGCGCTTAGGATTACTCTGTTGTTTTCTGCGCTGCTCAGGATGACTAAAGTGCCTCGCAGACAGACCCCTGTTAAAAACATATCCATCCATGGCTTCAGACCTGTGAAGGATGAGGAGCTACACTTTGATACAGAGAGCTGCCTGAAGGGGAGCGTCTCAGTATGAGTTTTGTCAGCTGCAGCAAGAAGGCCAGGAGAGAAAAAGGCAGGGAGAAAAGGGAGAGAGAAAGGGAAAAAAGGACCCCCTCCTCCCCTCTTTCGCATTCTGAAATCTTAAATATTAGACCGTCAGCTTAAGATATGTTGCGTCAACGCTCGTCCAGATGGAGTTGTATATGGGTGTCGTTCACAAGCCTCAGATGAAGGCACCATTTAGATGATGGGGTGAACCAGCGAGGGAGAATTTTCAAGGCTAAAGAATCTGACAGAAGCAGCAGGGTTAATGAATATGCTGTTTGCTGCCACGCTCTGTTTCTATACCCAGCAGTGTTGAGAAGGGAAGGGGAAAAACTCTTTTTAGATCAGGGGCTCCCTGGCAGCCCTAATACCCAACACCCATAGCCACCAATGATGCAGACTAAATGAAATATAGTTGTTTCTGCAATACTAACATACAGTGTCTCACTTTTAATGGTGTTTAAGCTTTGCACCAACATGAACAACCTATGTGTATCTATGAAACATGTAACCAAATGCAAAATGGGTTGTTTGCTGTGGTTTTACAGTGTCCACGCACTAAAACAAACTATAGCCAGGAGCTGAGGAACATGAATATTATGTAAGAATAAATTCTGAATGGCACTGATGGAAGTTCATAAACTAAGAATGAATTAAGCTGTCATTCTTTGTCACTGCGAAACACTAATCAGAACACAGATTTATTAATTACTAATTGTTTAGCAGAGAGATTTGCAGCATTTAGGTGTAACCTAATTAAATCTTGTTCTAATAGGAGCTTAACATCGGGCCACAAGCCTCATTAACATAAAACTCCCTCCATGTGAGGAATACATTAAAATGCTCCTTGGCTGATGATTGTCCTCATGTTCACTTGCACATATCTTTTTCCTCACCTCCCGTCTGCTTCCAATAGCGAACCTCCGCCTCCCTGTATTTTCTATGGTAGCGGTGAATGATAGTGCCATCTGGTCTTGTGGGAAATTAGAGGCAAGAGCGCAGGGGCAAATGGCCCCCAGCAAGCCCTGCCCAGGAGGGAGAGGCAGGCAATCTGCTGCAGACTGTCTGCACACAGGAATGCACCATCCCACTTCACTGGAGCCCTACTGACGGCCTTTCTGGAGTCGGCTCACTAAAACATGCTAAAGGCTAGCAGAGCTCTGCCAAGAGCTACTGTGGAGGAGAGCTGCAGCATGGCTATGCTTTGTTTATTGAGTGTTGTCCTGCTGGTCGGAGGCCATCCCCCGATCTTAGTTTATTGTTCTTCTTTCCAGGAGATGTATTGCATCGAAAAAGTGAGACATTAAAACACTGCTCTGTTTTTATATTGCCGACACATTTAGATATCCTTTATTTCATAACGACATGCCATGACAGCAGCAGTATAATGCCATGACATCAGCAGTATAATTTTAAACTTTTACACTGTTGGCACCACAAGAAGCCTCTGTAATGAGTTTAAGGGTCAAAGACATGACCCTTTGCACTCCTTAGTAACGGTTTCTTCTAACAAAAAGTGAGTGCAAAGGACACTGGTGTGGTATGGTGTCTGACATGCACACTTTTCCTAAAAATATTCAGAGATATTGCAGGACATTTTGAGCATATTCATCACGGTGCAGTTACTTATTTGTTCCTCCGTGCATGCCTGTACTGCACAGTTAGTGTTTCACTAAGGTAGAAGGGTCAAAGTGCAGATGCAGCCAGAACAACACTCCTGGAGTAATTAGTGGTTAAGTGTCTTGCTCAAGGACACTTTGTCATTAGTTGCTGCAGGGGAGAAGGTATCAGGATACCCTGTAAATACCTTCTACTGCCATCTTAATGTTGCACAATGCTGTATATGTGTAGGATTTTTTCCTGATGACCTTGGTGATGAACTGTAATGCAGTGAAACTCACAGCGTGTTAGTCACACATATAGCCAAGAGGGCCGTACACACATGCAAACTCACTGAACTCATCTCCATGCTCATCTGCCTGTACAGGACTTCCACCTGCTGTATGAGGAGGCGCGCTATTACCAGCTGACGCCCATGATCAAGGAGCTGGAGCGTTGGAAGCAGGAGCGGGAGCAACGACGGATGGCACAACCCTGCGACTGCCTGGTGGTTCGCGTCACACCCGACCTGGGAGAGAGGATCGCCTTGAGCGGTGAAAAGGTCCTCATCGAGGAGATCTTCCCAGAGACCGGAGACGTTATGTGTAACTCAGTCAATGCCGGCTGGAACCAGGACCCAACACACGTCATCCGCTTTCCCCTCAATGGCTACTGCAGGCTCAACTCCGTCCAGGTAACACAACACTGGACACCTCTTTTGGCAACAATACACATATTTTTGTCCTGTTAGTGATAACAGCAACCCAGCACAGTGTTTTCACAGTGCTTTACAGGATATTGTAATGTTTTGTTGTCCTGTTGGATATGCAAGTACCATATACCATTAATCTGGGTTGGTGTGGTGTTCCTGATATCCACTACCAGATACTACATTCATTTTAGAAATATTACAAGAATGCTATACTGTGATTGAAATAGCCATACTATAAATCAAAGTAGTGGTCTGAAATTAAAAAAAAATGTGCAAACCAAATAGAAAGCATAAAAAAATATTCATAATGTAGCTTTTTTGTGTTTATTTCTAAAATTTCTTATTTGAGTCCTGAGAGTATAATGCAACCCAAACACTAGAGAGACAGCTATTAAAGGAATACTTCACCAACCAAATGACCATTTATATATGGATTACTCACCCCATGTAATGTTGAATTTATGATGAAAACGTTGTGAACAAAGCATCCAAAAAACTGAGACTATTCTTGATGAACTGATGTAATAGGGGTCCACATGTAGCAACAGCAAAACTATATCAAAACATCACAACTCATGCAGTACAATCCAAGTCTCATTTATGCAGTTGTTTGCTCAGTACTTCCTAAACACACATTTTCATGAAAACCTTACTATTTAAAACTGAAGCAACAATGAAACTTATCATTGCTTTCCTTAGAGCCAGACTCCATTGACAAAAACAATATTTTTTTCTCACTGGAAACAGGAGCTGCTGCCTAGATCAATTATTTTCTTTGTGTTATTGTGTAATTTGGGTGTTTTAAAAGCTTAGTTCAGATGAAACAGAGTCACACATGAACACAAACAAACCACTGTTTGAGGCAGCAGTGGATGAGCTCCCATGTTCAGAGAGATAAAATTACTGATTTTTTCAATGGAGTCTGGCTTTGAAGAGAGCATTTATAAGTTTTCAATTTATAGTAAAAATGCATGTATCAGGGGAGTACTGACAATATTTATGGATAAATGAGATTTTGATTATAATGAATTTTCTCCATTTCTGGATTATTTGTTCACAGGAAGCATGCCAGAAAACGTTTCCTTTATTAATTAAATGTAACATGGGATGAGTAATTGATACACAAATGATCATTTGGCGGGTGAAGTATTCCTTTAAGTTGTTAAATTCAGCTTAGATTAAACCTCATGATATCAGATTCAAACTTAACTAACAACTTAAGTTCATGCAATGTTACCATTTCGGAGTATATATGTATTCATGTATGTGTTCTCTCTGTAGTTTGGAGGTAGAAAGGAGCTATACTGTGTTTTGGGATTGTTGGGTTGATATTAAACTGAAAACAAGGCAGGTTCACTCTAACAGAGTCAGTGTGAAGAACAGTGATAGGCTTCCTAATGTAAAATATTTTTACCTTGAGATCCTTATATATTTTAGCATAACATCTTTTCTGCATCAGGAAGTGCAGATAATTATTCAAAACACAGGTTTTATTATGATTTTGCAATGAAACCCTTCTGTGCTCTTTGTCTAGACATTGTAGCTCTGCATCAGTTTAAGTTTGATTTGACACTGCAGGTGTTTTATGGCTTGGGTCCCATCTTTGAGGTTAGCCATAGGACGCAGATTCCACAGAGAAACATTTCTATGAGTCAGTCAACATGATAAGTGGCCTTGTGTATACTCTGCATGTTGCCACAGTGGAGACTTCTTCTTTTTTTTACCTTTATTTATCCAGCAAAGGATTTTGCTGAGCAAGCAAACCATTTTTCACCACCACCCTTCAACACTTTCATACACACTTAAACACCTGGCTGGAATTTGTACTGTACAACCAGAGCATTGATGGCCACTGTACAGCTCCACTGGTGTTACTGAGCTTTAGGCACTGCATAGCGTAGGCCTAGCATAGCGTCTGCTAAGGGACTGTCACTTGTTCACTCTGTCAGTCCAGATATTCTGTGTCAGTTTGCAGATTTTATTTTCATGTCACGAGCCAATATAAAGGCTTGTATTTTTTCCTTCATTGCCCATAAGCTAGGATTCCACCTCAAAAGTTTGCTTTAAGGCAGTTGGCATGATTTGTGGTCCTCTGTGCTGCATTTTGCCACAGCCATTGTCACTAACTGAGATAATAGCTGCTCAGATGGAGCTACAGTCAGTTTGTGAAAAGATTACCAGAGGTAATGGCAGGTGTGCAGAGTGTGTGTGTAGTTTTTCCATTCTGTCTAAAGATGGACTTACACAGCTTCCAAGTGGCTCTTGTGGTTGTAGCATGATGTGAAATCTGAGCCAGGCATGTCTTTTATGGCACGATGTGAGTGCTCATTGCTTTACAGTATGTTATACCATTTTCAAACAGGTAGTCTGACTGAGACCTCCTTGTTTAAAGGGATAGTTCAGCCAAAAAAAATAAATAAAAAAATAAAAAAAATAAAGTTCTTTTCACCTGTAGTGCTATTTATCAACTTAGATTGTCTTGGCATGAGTTTCCCAGTGTTGGACATATCAACTGCAGAGATGTCTGCTTCTCTCGAATATAATGGAACTAGATGACACTCAGCTTGTGGTGCTGAAAGCATCAAAAAAAAAAAAAAAAAAAAAAAAAAAAAAAAAAATTAAAAAACTCAACAGCAGTATCTCTTTCCAGAAACTGTGACCTCAAGATTATCCAAAGACCTTGTTGTGAGCAGTTTTATGTAGGAACTATTTTCTTTCTTCTGAACTACACCTGCAAACCCTAGAAGGAAGAGTGCATCTGCTGCTAGCTCACCAATTCAATAAGCAAGCTAACATTACGACTCCGCCATGGAGGATGCCATTAATGTTTACATCCTGCACTGCACTGAATAGACGCAAGCTTCCTTGTGCACAGAAATACACTTGGTGGGTGTAGTTTGCTAGAGAGAAAATAGTTCCCACATGAAACTGCTCACAACAAGGTCTGTGGATTATCTTGAGTGACCGGGTCATGATTTCTGCAAAGAGACATTGATTTTGAGTATTTCAAATGTATTTTGCTGGTGATTTGAGCACCACAAGCTGAGTGCCATCTAGTTCCATTATATTCAAAAGATGGCAGATATCTCTTCAGCCGATATCTCCAAAACTCGGCAGCTCACACCAAAACAATCGAGTCTGATAAATAGCACTACGGGTACGAGGAAAAATATGTATTTTTGATTTTGGGGTGTACTTTCCCTTTAAAGCGGAGTTGAGTGTGTGTAGTAAAGCAGTAAGATGTTAAAAACAACTTCAGAAAACTAGTTTTACAGTTGTGTTACCCAGAGAGGTCTGTGAGAGGGAGAACGGGGGGAAACATAACAGCCTCACACCACAGGCTTGATATAACACACTTCAGTGCCCACAGCCACGAACAGGCCAACACATAGAGGAGCCTTTTCCCCCCTCCAGCACCCAGAGGGAGCGTCTCCCAGGCAGGCTAGCGCGCTCTGACACCTCCACCTCCCTCCTGCCAGTGCGAGAGACCACCTCCAGGGAGGAGAGCCGAGTGAGCGGGACAAAGCACGTGTGGACTGCGGCCATGTTTTCCTGCGAAAAAATGAAGAAGAGGAATGGAAAGGGGGGGAAATGATATGCATAATTTACGCTTTACTCCTTTTTAAGACACAGCTCCTTTTTTAAAAAGACTCCAATATAACACCGCTCAAGGCAATTGAAATACACGTATTGCATTTTTTAATACCATACTTACAATTTCTCAAACAGCCTAAACCGGTTTATACTTCTTTTATAGATTTTTAAATGACTTGCAATATAATTAATTGGCCGCATCAACTAACACAACATTTTCCCACTCTGTTTACCAGTGAGACTGGTTATGGGATGTGAGCGCGTCTGACTAACATGGTCTGAAAGGAGTTTTTATTGTTTAGGTTTTTATTGGGCTGCTCCTCTGAAGGCGAGGTGAGCCGAAAATCCTCTTTTCAGACAAACTGCTAACAGAAAGAGGAGCTGGATCTTCAAGGTTTCCTGTAAGCGATGTTCCCTTTTGTCTCACAGTATGGCCTCACTCAGTTAAGGTGGTGTTCGATGTGGCGACGGGCTGATTTTTTTTTTTTGTCTTTTGCTGGCCCCTTTAAGACACACAGATACACAAAATTCTGTACAAAAAAAGCACAAACACACACACACACACACACACACATATGCAAGCACAGTAGAGGGGCCCGGCTCATTGAGTCGATGTAGATGAAGACACAAGGAGCAGATGGAGGTGTTTTTCGGTGTAAGGGGAGATTTTTCTAAACAACTTACTCATTCTGTCCTCTCTCATTGTTGCGTGAAGGTATGAGAAGGTTAGGAAAATAATCCTCGTCTTACCCGCCAGACAATAAGCCTCTGATCTGATTTCAGCCCTGGACCCCAACCCAGGGGAACACACACATGACCACACCCTGCCCATAGAGGAAGACCAAGGAGAGAAAAAGGAGGAGGAGGAGGAGGAGGAGGAGGAGGAGGGGGGATGGGGCAGATGCAGAGCTGTCTGGGACAGAGTATTTATGACTGGACTGATTTTTGAAGAGGTCTTGACAGGAAAGAGATGGATATGTGACAAGTTTTACTCTATTTTCTTTTTCTTTTTTTTGTATGTCACCGGCGCAGTGAATTTATTTTAGTCCCAAATGATTTTATTGAAGTTAGGGTACTGTTGCTGTCTTGCCCAGGGCTGGAAACCTGCTAGACCTTGTGATACTTTGGTCACAATGAGATAACATGACATTTCTCAATACTTTACTGTACACTAAGCACAGCAACCTCGGTTTTGCAGTTTATTATTCCGTTTTTATTCACTTAAAGATAAAGTAGCAGCCCCAAGGTGAGTAAATTTAGTTATACGTCAGAGTGAAACATCTTATTCAATGAGTCAGTGTTATTTAGAGCATTTCCAGGACTCTCTTTTTTAGGCTTTTGTTAGGAGTATCAATTTCTGATGCGTCGTTATATTATCTTCTATTTAC